GAAGTGGTAACTGCAGTAATCTGACCACAGCAGATATTCTGATGAATTTCGCAAGCGTTCGACTGCCATCTGCTCATTCGCCATACGCTCATGCGGAGATAAATAAGGACATCTCATTTGTTTGCACCTCAGTTTGCGGCACTGATGGACAAAGTCGTACTCCAACTGCCACCATATATTTCGAAAAAGAACACGAGTATAACTTGGAAGAGAATGCGCGGCGTGCTTACCAGCTATTGTCGTCGAAAAGAGCGCTCGAAGTGCTAACAGGTGTAAGACGGCGCGGTTCATAACAGCCCCTCAAACACAACACAGACGCTTGTGCGACGAACAAGCGATCCCTTACATGACGGGAGAGAGTTAATCCCAACTTGGAGGAATCGAACGACCAAAGACCATAACGGTAAATTTGCAACTGAATTAAAATGCGTTAACGCTTCCTGGCTACATGTAAAATATCCCAAGAGATTCTGCGGTTTTTTAATAATATCTTGAATTCTTGATATATACGTGCTTTTAGGTTGAATATCAGCTTCAGCTTTTCCGAGATCTTTCGTGTATGTCGCTTGAGCTTCGAAAAATCTGAAAATCAACTTTCGTGGAAAGTCTCAGTAGAAGCAACTGGCTTATGCTACCCACTTCGAAAGACAGAGACTCGTCGGTCTCGTCACCGGGTTCAGACCCCCAGGTAGGATATTCGAAAGTTGATTGGTACAGCAATACAGATGATATACGTGAGTTATGATCATGATTGCAGGCGCGCCAGTGGTGTCAAAGTCACAGTACCAGCAAACCGTTGCTCTATGCCCGGTGGAGTCTTAGGATAGGCTCTCAGCCTTTGCACTCTTATAGTTCTCTGGACGCCTGCAATGTTCTCCTAGGACATGGGTCATGGGCAAGTGAAAGATAAACAAGTTTAAAAAGACAACCTAGGAGCGATTGCTTTAGTCAATGACGTCGGCTCTGTCTTTCGGGGTGGGCAGCGTAAGCCAGTCACTTTTACTTTATTCTTTTTACGAAAGTTAAAATTTCATGTATTCGAAGCTAGAGCTCTGTACACCAAATATTTTGTAAATGTTCAAGCAGAACTTCAACCTCAGCACATTCTTGCTTGAATGTATCAGGAACCCAACGAATTATCAGTAAAAACTCTATAGGATCTCTTAGGGTTTTTGCACGTAGTCAGAAATCATTAACGCTTTTTAATTTACTTGCAAATTTACCTTAAAGCTCTTGAGTCGTTATTATTTCCTCTAAAGTGGGACTAACCTTCTCCCTCCACGTCTGGAATCGCTTAGTTGTGGCTAAAGCCTGTGTGTTGTGTTCGAGAGACAGGTGTGAACAGCCCCTTCTTACACACTTGGTGTATGATCAAAAGCGCACATATCGACGTCGCCACATGTTTCTTCGACAGCTTTTTGTACTCGTCTTGAAATGATTGCCGATCCACTTGAACATTAACATAAAATATTGTCTTCAGTAACTTCGATGGTCGCTTTTGGCTGAAGCGCATGCGTGTCATACTTTATCCAATCTCATAAAGAACTTTGATTTTACCTTGGCATACCCCAAGTCGAACACGCAATTA